TGCCAATTTAAAGTAGCAAGTTGTTGAATGGTATTAGCCTGATTTTATCATTCTGGTGTGGCAATGTGGGAAAGCAATGGGCTGCTAACCACAGGATCATTGGTTCAAACCCACCAGTAACTCCTCAGGAACCCTATAAAGGGTCACTATTGGTCAAAACTGGCCAGATTGCATTTAACAACAATAATTTTATTATCCAGAAAGGTTTAAAGGTCCCAATCAAGCATACAAACTACAAAAAACAGACCAATGGCATGACACAGATACCAAGTCAAAGGCTAGTGTGCATTCCATGAGTATGGGTAGAATCCTGGACCTCAGAGTTTCTGGTGGTTAGCAGGCAGACTCAGAACCATTACACTACCAGAACTCCTTCATGCAAATATTGTATGTATTTAAACATATTTATGTTTATGTTCCTAAACATTTCCATAGTTTCATCAATAAAGACACCAAGGATGGTAAGAACCAAAGCATTTGGGCATTTCATTGCTATACAAACAAACAACAAAAAAGCCACCACAACTTTTTAAGGAACAGAGTAACTGGCATAATAGAGTAAAAAACAAAAACAACAAACAACTCTTTTTAAGAAATAGAGAAACCAGTTACAATTACTCAGGTGTTGTTCTGAACTAGTAGCTTCCTACTGCTAATTTCCTGGGTGAGAATTAAAAAAAAAAAAAAAAAGTGTTGATTGATGGAGGAAGGAGGACCTGAGAAGAGAAGTAGTTTGCTAAGACTCCCCGTTTTTTGATGACAACAGTTTGTGAACTCTTCAAATGTTGGGGATGGGGTTGTATTTTCTTCTGTCAAAGAACAGAGGTTGTAGCTCCAGTGTTTTGAGCATTTTATTTTAGCAAAACAAAGATAAGATTACATACACTCTCTTTGGTACTGTGCCTAGATCTCTTTTAAGAATCCCTTTCTGGGAGAAGTAGGGAAGACCTTAGGAATGCTACATACAAGACCCAAGTGCACCTGCCAAGAGGACTGGAGAGGACCAACAGGGCTGGGAGCCTTGAAGAGAGTAAGCTGCAGCAAGTTATATGTGACGTTTATTGTGGTGATGAAAGGGGAAAGGGGAAGCTCTTCACAGTGCTGGGGTTAGCGTCCAGCTCCAAACTTCACATCTTGAGCCTCGAATTTGCAGGTGTCCAGTATCTTACTAGAATAAGGGTCTCTACTTGTGGGGCGAGTCTTCTTTGGTCCCTCCAGAGCTTGCCAAGGTGTCTGACTTCATGTCTTATCACCGGCTTCACTGAGTTCCAGCGTCACCCTCCGCCTCCTCAGCTTCGGCTAAAAGTCAATCCGAGTGAAACCGCTAAGAGAAGTACATTAATTCACAGTTTTATTGTCTGGTGGTCAAACAGTTTAGTTCCTCCCAGCTAACTTCTCTGGCTCATTTCCTCCTAGTGTCCGTGCAAAGGGACAAACTTGTGTAGGGAATGTGTAGGGAGTTTCCTCCTGGCGCTGCTGGAGGACAAGAGTGGACCATGCCCAGGAGAACCTCCTCAGATGTGGATTTCAAGGTCCTCTGCTGTCTGGATTTCAGAGACTTACACATTGCATGTATACACCTACATTTTAAATCTTTTAAAAAGAGAAAGGAGTGAAAAGTCATATGGCTCTATTGAATCTGGTCAACATTCCGTAGGTGGGCGCGTTCACACAACTCTGTACCAGTCGGAGGGGTTGAGATTCAGCCAAGAAGTGACAAGTTTCGCGTTTTGTCTGGGAATACGCGAAAGAGTTTAAGAGTGGCTGGAAAAAGCTACAGGTTTCCATTCTGCCAAAATCAAGGTGGAGGAAGTGTTTTTCTCATTAGCTTGCTCTTGGACAGGGGGGGCAAAAAACGTATGGAGGCTGCCTGCTGCTGGAAACATTCCTTTCTACTTTACCCCGCCTCCTATCCCTTCAACAATTTCATCTAATCTTGCCCAGCCTCCCCTAAAACCTCAGGAAAATAGTTTCTTACCCTTTCCCGCGTAACACCCCCAGGCACCGCCTACCACACACTTGCTCCATCCTGGCCAACGCCCCCACCTAGCGGTTTAAGTTCGCCTGCTCAGATTCCCTCTCCTTTTGTTTCCTGGAGAGAGCTGCAGTTTGCAAAATAATGAAGTCTAGTTAGGCACCTGATGTGAGTAGGTGAAGTGGGAAGATTCGGAAGGCCCTTTAAAACGGGATGCAAATCAGGCTTGATTTTGACCAAGACCTGCTGAGTGCAGCGGACGCCAGGAGAAGAAAGGGAAGGTTATGCGTTTATCCCAAGCCTGGCTGCTGCAATCCAGACCGCATCAAAAGAACGTCTTTGGAGCGTTGCCACCTGAGTTAAAGGACCACCCCCTCTCTTTTAATGAATATATTCGTTTCTGCATAACACTTAGCGATTTATGAAATACATTATTTACTGGGTCATGCCTCTCTGCCTCGTCTGCTTGAAAATTAGGTCTTGGTTGGTCTCCATTATCCTGGTGCCTAGAAGAATAGAAGAATGTTCAGCGTAGAGTAGGCACTCTATTTTGTGCCTTACGTACCTGGCTTGGAGATGCAATAATTAAGAAGGCTGTAGTTAGAGCTACTAACCAGCTTCCCTGCTTTGAATGAAAAGTTCTTGTCTCAGAGCATCTGAAGTCCATTTCCCTAAAACTGCAAGAGTAGACCAGTAATCTCTGGTTCTGAGATCAATGCTACTGGATATTCTGAGATCAATGCTATTTGATACATTGTATGTGTAAAACAGTGGGCTTCAACCCTCTTCTGAGAATTTGCATTTTTACCCAGGTATAATGATAAGCTGAATCAGAATTTACATTTTAACAAGACCCTTAGGTGATTTTTTTTTTAATAGATATCCAGGTGATTCTCTCTCTCTCTATATATATATATATTCATAATATAGTTGTATAGTTGACATTGTTAAATGTGGCGAAGTGGCTGGTGAGCTTGAACGTTGCAGTCCAGCGCATTAACCCACAGCGCCACACTAGGAATCTCTCTATATATTTATATATGTGGTAGCATATTGGTTACAAGTTGGGTTGCTAACCTCAAGGTCAGTAGTCCGAAACTACCAGCCGTTCAGTGGGAGAAAGATGAGGCTTTCTACTCTCGTGAAGATTTACAGCCTCTGAAACTATGCAGAGTCGCTATGAGTCGTGAGTCGCAATGACTGCAGGACACATGACCACCATGTGTATTTATGGTGTCCTAGTGTTGCGCTGCGGGATAATGCGCTGGACCTTAAGGTCAGTTTGAACTTCAGAGTTGGCGGCAATTAACAACAACAACAATGTGTATGCATATATCATCTGGGAATCTGTTAAACTGTAGGTTCTATTTATATGGGGTGGAAATGCAAATGTTCCATTGAGGTTGGAGCTAGAATGAACTGTTTCCACACATTGGCCAACAGACCCAGGCATGGTAGTGGAAATCATTCAGTCCTGAACTCAAACTATATTGTCCCTTCCTTTAAACGTTTTCTGACTTGTACCTGTACTCTGCGTTCCACATTTATTTCTGCTAAGATTAGTTGAGTGAGAACATCTGAGAACAGGGTATTAATCTGCTCTGGATCACTGAAATTGCTTGGTGCTTATGACTGACTTGCTGATGTATTTTTGTTGGGGGCAAAGGGGATGCACTTAGGTTCCTGTTGATAGCTCCAGTGCCCGTTTTGTTTGAATTCTGATGACCTCTTTCTAGGCACGCTGTGAGAGAGAACGTGCCTCGAGGGAACAGTTTTTTCCAGAGATACTCAGCTGTTGGAACAGGAGGGTGGAGCCAGAGGTTTAGAATTGACTTGTCGTTGTCCCTCCCCCCCACCTCAAGCTGACTCACAATTAAGGGGGAGGAAATGAATGAAAATCAAATTCCTATAGCTAGATATAAACATTTAGCTTGTTTTGTACCAAGAGTCAAGTATTCCTTGAAGACGAAGTTTAAGCACAAATAGGTCGTTTCCTTCTACAGCCTTAGTATAGGCACCTCCTTCTAACCTGGGTGTGGTCCGCAAGTCTGGATAAGATTCTAGAATGGAAAGGTCAGAGACAGGAGTTTGCACCAAGTAGCAAGGGCCTGTCGGGGTGAGGGGTAGGCAGGAAGGCACCGCCGAGATTATGCCTGTGACCACTACTGAGGGCGAAGGTCTGACTGTCAGGGCGCGAAGCAAGCTCCACAATGAGCAAAAGACCGAATAGAACTGCGGCACCTGGGCGCTGGGATTGAAAGAAGGGGATTAGGGGAATGCAGGTGGAGCAAGAGGGAAGTAGGACCAGGCGACGCTTCCCACACTAGGTTAAGAATGTGAAGGGATAAAAGGAGGGAGGAAGAAAAAGGGAAGGTGATGTGGGGCGGGCGTCCGCACTCCCCGCACTGCACGAGTTGCAAGGCTCTGGCGGACCGCACCGGGACTATTCTATAAAAGGAGCCAGTCTGCGCTGCCGCTCACACGCTCCTCCTGGGCTGGCGCACGGCACGTCCCTCCAGCTCCCACAGACACCTGCCCCTTCCTTGCGCGCTGCGCCAGGTCTCTTAGACTTGCGCGCTGCGCCAGGTCTCTTAGACCTGCGCGCCCAGAAGCTTGCTCTGAGCGGTGCTCGTGGCGCCGAGGCAGTGGTGGAGGTGGCGGCGGCACGACCCAAGAAGCCGCAGCCACAACCCACGAATACCCCCTTTTGCGGCCCCATCTCCGCGGGGCAGCTCGCCAGTGTGGCCGGCGCGTGAAAAACGAGGGAGGGTAAAGCTCCGGCGCGACACGAGGCGCGGCGCGGCTCTCAGACTTCACCCCACCCAGCTCGGGCGGTCGCTGCCGCCGCAGGAAAGTGCCCCTGCGTGGGGAGGGAGGTGGTAATGCAAGACTTGGAGTTCTCCCTGGCCGGGAAGCTTTGGTCTGGACAACTAGGAAACTCCTGCGGGCTAAGTCTGCAGATCCCGGGAGCGTCCGGGTTAGGAGACTCTCAGCCCAGAACAACTGGGGTAAGAGAACCATTTAGCCGAAGCCTTCTCCCGAAATAATATAAGCCCCACCACCATGAGAAGCTTCCGTGGGAATTAAAGCGGAACGGGGCTCGAAGGACCATTATTTCACAATCCAGGGCTAAGATAGGGCGTGGAGAGGAACAGTCGGAGACGCAGCAACAGCGCCAAGCGCACGGGAAGTGCCGGGGACGCGCCCGCCCGCTCCGGCTGCCGCGCCCATGACCTCTAGTTCCATCTGGGGGCCCGGACGGAGAAGTAATTGAGAAACCCACGACTGACTAGCAACCGAGGATAAGTCTGTGATCTCCTACGTGGTCCTTGCGCCCTCTCCTTCGTCCAGTCCACGCTCTAGAGCTGCGCTCTCAAGCCAGGGCGAAGAGAGCCATGGAGGAGCCTAGGGCTCAGTGCGCTCCGCCGCCTGCGAGCTCCCTGACCGAGGTTCCGCAGGCCAACCTCTCTGCTGCTCGCTCTCACAACTGCAGTGCTGAAGGCTACATTTACCAGGATTCCATCGCCCTGCCCTGGAAAGTGCTCCTGGTTATTCTGCTGTCTCTGATCACCTTAGCCACCACGCTCTCCAATGCCTTCGTGATCGCCACTGTGTACCGAACCCGGAAACTGCATACCCCCGCCAACTACCTGATCGCCTCCTTGGCGGTCACCGACCTGCTCGTATCCATCCTAGTGATGCCCATCAGTACCATGTACACTGTTACCGGACGCTGGACGCTGGGCCAGGTGGTCTGCGACTTCTGGCTGTCGTCGGACATCACCTGTTGCACTGCTTCCATTCTGCACCTTTGTGTCATCGCCCTGGACCGTTACTGGGCCATAACAGACGCCGTGGAGTACTCAGCCAAAAGGACTCCCAAGAGAGCGGCGGTCATGATCGTGTTGGTCTGGGTCTTCTCCATCTCCATCTCCCTGCCGCCCTTCTTCTGGCGCCAGGCTAAAGCTGAGGAGGAGGTGTCGGACTGCGTGGTGAACACAGACCACATCCTCTACACGGTCTACTCCACGGTGGGCGCTTTCTACTTCCCCACCCTGCTCCTCATCGCCCTCTACGGCCGCATCTATGTGGAAGCCCGCTCTCGGATTTTGAAACAGACGCCCAACAGAACAGGCAAGCGCCTGACTAGAGCCCAACTGATAACCGACTCCCCTGGGTCCACATCCTCCGTTACCTCCATTAACTCGCGGGGTCCCGACGTGCCCAGCGAATCCGGGTCTCCTGTGTACGTGAATCAAGTCAAAGTGAGAGTCTCCGACGCCCTGCTGGAAAAGAAGAAACTCATGGCCGCTAGGGAGCGCAAAGCCACCAAGACCCTGGGGATCATTTTGGGAGCATTTATTGTGTGTTGGCTGCCCTTCTTCATCATCTCCCTGGTGATGCCTATTTGCCGGGATGCCTGCTGGTTCCACCTGGCCATTTTTGACTTTTTCACGTGGCTGGGTTATCTCAACTCTCTCATCAACCCCATCATTTATACCATGTCCAATGAGGACTTCAAACAAGCATTTCATAAACTGATCCGCTTTAAGTGCACAAGTTGACTTGTCATTTGCAGTGGGGTCACCTAAGTGGCCTTTGGGGACCATTTTGGGTCTGGTTTCACAGGTAGGTCGACTCTTCTTTCACTGTTACTGGGTCGGAGTGAGTCTCTCCAGGGAGAGGGCAATGGATCCTGAGAAACCTGTACAGCCCACAGAGAAAGCACTTAAAGGAGAACTGTTCATACTAAAGGTAGTGCTTCCCTGCGAAGGTGGAGACTCACTGTCACCCCTTGACCCCCAGAATCGGCACTGACCCTGCAGCAACCAGTCTGGAGGGGGGTGGTTACAACTTTTTGGTTTTGTTTTTTTAAAGTTGATGGAAAGGTGATCTTTGTCCTGCTTTGGTGTCATGGATGCCCTCTAGAAACAGTAGAACTTATAGCTGTCTGAAGCCTACAGATGTACTTACAACCTGACAGTACTTGAACTAGACGTTTAATACCCTGTGTTTTGGGGAGAACTTTGTGTTACAGCTTCCTTTAAGAACAGTTAAGTTGACATCCTTCAGTCTTCAGTTTTTGTTTAAAGTTGGTTGGAGAAACTTGTGGATTTAGTGCTTCAAACATTAAGTGAGACATGGATGCTGAGAGAAACCTTGAAGAGTTAACAGCAAACACCGGATGTTTAAAATCTCTATTTTTATTATAATTGACATGAAGTAGGGGGGTTGGCAATGGTGGATGGGTCATGGGTAGAGTTAAAATTGAGAACCAACACCTATAATTGTTTTCTGAAGATTTGTCATTTTATATTTCTGTTTAGTGATTTTTAAATCACATTTTTAACAACACATACAAAACACTATGTGTGCTAGTGCCAAAGTCTGCAGATTATTTTTTTCTTGTAACTTCATGTACTTATCATTTTATGCATTTAAATCCCCAAAAATGGAGGATATGATAGGTGACTCATCCCAAACAGATGCTATATTGCTTATTAATGCAATCATTTAAATTGATTATAATTAGGGAAATGCTGCTCTTTCACAAGAAGAGTATCTTTATTCCTTATCCAATTCAGTGAGATGCGCAGGAGACGGATGACATAGGAATGGTTCTTATATGATTAAGGAATAGAGGGCAATAGGAGAATGTATATTTTGACTTGTAAAAAATCTTAAAATGCATGAGACTTTTTTCTGATAGTCATTTGCACTCTCCTTTCCATCTGTAATTCCTTTGTGTTCAACCTATAAAGTAACTAAGAGAACTGGCTGGGTTCTTCAGAAATCTTTAAAATGCAGTCAAAGCCCTCTGAATTGTATTAAAGAAAAAACGAAACAATATGTAACACCTTTCAATGCTCCCATGCTACTAAAGATTATTGCAAAATGGCAATTGAAGAAATTTAGAAAAGTGAAGGAAAGCTAAAATTGAGCCTGCTTCCTTTTTAACTCATGGGATCAAACCTGAGACTTACCAGGTAATCAGAAACTTGTCAAGCCTTTCACACTTTGAAAATTTGCAGCTGGTTTGACACCTCAAGAGTATATTATCTGGAATACTTTAAATTTATCTGCCTTTTCAAATTGTAACAATACTTAGTTGTTATCTCAAATTTACTCTGAGAACTTCACAATACAGGGTAAGACTACACTTAAAATAAAAATGAAAAAAAAGCATTATCTAAATAAAGGACTAGCCCTGAAGGAAAAAAAAAAAAAAAAAGTCCTCTGGATGTCAGAGAAGAGTCACACTCCATTCTTCAGAGTGGTTTTTTTTTGTAGTTGGTACCTTTTGTCTGTAGAAACAAGTTGTCTTTGTAAAATGGAGTCACCCCTGCTTGAATCTCCCCAGTCCAAATCATCAAACAGTGGATGTGTTGATCTCATGTGCACTGCCTGCCTAGCTCCATTATGGGATAATGACTTGAAAATATACTATTCAAAGATTCACACATATGCTAAGTAAAAAGGGGAATTTGATCACCATTTATACCTGTTACTGGAGTAAGATAAAATTTTAAGCATTAGCTAATCCTATATTTCAGCTGGATCCCCAAGTTTCTTCATTCACTGTTTGTGACATTTCTCCTATGGAGAAATTTAGCTTGCTACTGATAGGAATGTGCATAGAGCACGGTTATTTATTATGTTATTAATACGTTTGTCTTTTGTTTGTGCAACTGTGTTTTCTTTGGGTCTAAGAAACAGATTAATCTAGGAGCCTGAGTGGAAAAAAACCCACAATTGAGACAAATAGCCAGTTACAAATCATTTCCTTATAGGGGCACTTAGAATGATTACGTCCTCATATTAACAAAACACAGTTAGCTTAGTCACAGGATTGTTTGCTGTTTTATAGATTACCCATATAAATTTTTGCTTGACTATTTGGCTGGATTGACTGGATTTTGGAATACATTGTGTGAAACAGAAGCTTGCAAACCCTTGTAGTTTTAAGAGATCTTGAATCATCCATCAGCATTGCACATGGTTATGCAAAGTGTACTATTCATCCCAGGGGTATATAAGACTGTTAAACTTCGTTTCAGTGACTGCTATCTATAACATAGTTGGTTTTGTAAACTAGGCTTTTTTTGCAGACCATAAAACAGGAGATAGAAATGTTGAACTTCAACTGAAATGAAAATATCTTTTCATTGGCTGTGATAAAAAATACCATTTTCCATATTGTTTAATTGCACAAATTTGATACAAATATATGAATGTAATACCAGAAATACCAATATTGTCTTGTGTTTCTAGGAATTTTAGAGTTTCCTTTTTCAAAATGGACATTGCACTAATGGAAGGGTGGTTATTGAGTCCAACAAATTGCCTATGGAACAATATCCTTCACTTTTCCTATGTTATCTTAATTTGATCTTCTTTAATCTGGAAACCCTGAGAGAACTATAATTCACTCAAGCAGTAAAATCTCAGATCATGTGTATTTTATGGAGTTACTGTGACTGAACATTGCCTTTGGTATTCCATCTTTCAACAAATGTGTAATTGGAAATGAAATTTAGGAAACTAATGAAATAAAAGTCTTTTTGTGTTTTAAAAAACTTTGGGTAGTAATTCTACTATTAGGAAAAGGCTCATTCAGTGGACTTGGGTTGTGTTCAGAAGTTTGAACCACCGTGAAAGTATTGATGATAAATGATATTGTAGAAGTCTGGCACACGCTGCCATGATTTAGAGTATTTACGTCTGTAGGAAGGTTTTAGAAGGATAAATCGTACTCTCACATTTTGCAAAGAGGGTAACCCAGGCCCACAATCACAAGCATTTACCAGATTAGCATTCTTAGAGAGAACATTTGGGGTCCATGATAAATAGTGAGATTCAAGATACTGTGTGATGCTTAAGATATAGAAGAAAGAAAATGAAGCTGGATTAAAAACAAGTTTGGGGAGACCTGAGAAGAGATTGATTAACCTAGACACCAGCAAAGTAGACAGAAAGATGACTTCTGAAATTAGAGAATCCTAGGTTTGTATTGGAGTCCTGGTGTGGCACTGTAGGATAAGCACTTGACCACAAGATCGGTTTGAAGCACAAAATCAGTGATTCACTCTCACCAGCTGCTCCTCGGAAACCCTATACAGGGTCACTATGGGTTGGAACCAACTCGATGACACCTAATAACAACAACAGCAACAGGTTTGAATTGCAAGTAAGGCATGTTATAGGTGTGTGGTTCTCCTTCCCAAATGCACCCTATTGCCCTTGTGGCACAGGATTCGAAGCTATACTTGAGAAACACAAGATGTCTGATGCTTCTGCCTAATATTTCACTTAGGTACTAGTTCCCATTACCTGCTCGTACATATGGACCACATATGGAATAGAAAAACTGAGGGCCATTTGTGAGAGTTTGAACTGAGAAAGACCAAACTAGACTGAAGGGAGAAACTTGGCAAAAAGGAACTGAGACCTATAGTCTTTTGCACTTGATCACTTAGGTTGGTGACCTTCAGCTCAAAGGCCGAAGAGCAGTATGAGAGATCTTTTTTTCAGTATCTCTCGTGACCCAAGAGGAAATTGCCAAATATAAATATTGTTAAGTGCCATCAAGTTGGTTCTAACTCATAGCCACCTTGCAGTTCAAACTGACCTTGTGGTCTAGTGTGTTATCCTGCAGTACCATACCAGGACTCCATGTATAGAAACATGTTGTTGTAAGTGCCATCAAGTCTGTTCCAACTCAGTTCCAAACTCTGAGTAGGGTTTCTGAGGAGCAGCTTGGTGACCTTCAGCTCAAAGGCCGAAGAGCAGTATGAGAGATCTTTTTTTCAGTATCTCTCGTGACCCAAGAGGAAATTGCCAAATATAAATATTGTTAAGTGCCATCAAGTTGGTTCTAACTCATAGCCACCTTGCAGTTCAAACTGACCTTGTGGTCTAGTGTGTTATCCTGCAGTACCATACCAGGACTCCATGTATAGAAACATGTTGTTGTAAGTGCCATCAAGTCTGTTCCAACTCAGTTCCAAACTCTGAGTAGGGTTTCTGAGGAGCAGCTGGTGGATTTGAACAGCTGACCTTATGGTTCACAGATGACTGCTGATCCTACAGCACCATACCAGGACTCTCCATATATATATATATGAGAGTGGCACTGTGGGTTAATGCAGCAGACTGTAAAGCCATTTGAACTGCAAGGTCGGTGGTTCAAGCCTATCAGCTACTCCTCGGAAACTGTATACAGAGTCACTATGGGTTGGAACCAGCTCTATGGCACTTAACAACAATATATATATATATATATTTCTACCTCCTATAAATCAATTTAACTAGTTTTCATTAAGTCAGTGCTGACACTTAGAAACCTCACGTGTGTCAGAGTAGAACTGTGATCCACAGAACTTTCAATGACTGATTTTTTTCTTTCTTTCTTTCTTTTTTTTTTTTTAAAGTAGATCACTAAACCATTCTTCCAAAATGACTCTGGTTGGACTTGAACCTCACATTTTCAGTTTGCTGCCAAGTGAATTAACTGTTGGCACCCAGTCCTCTATAAACCAAATAAAACCTACTGCCATCTATTCAATTCCAACTCACAGTGACCCT